GCAGCCCCCGCTCGGCGCTGAGCTGCCTGTGAGTACGGCCGCAGCCCCCGCGTCCCCGCCGGGCCCGCGCCGCCGCGCCCTCTCCGCTCACCCCGCGCCCTCTCTCTCCCGCCCGCTTTTGTCTCCCACAGGCTGTTGCACTTGCTGGTTCTCTGCCTCCAAGCCCAGGTAAGGCGCACTGCGCGGCGGCGGGGCCCGGGCGGGCCGGCGGGGGCCGCCGGTTGGCAAGGTCGGACAGGGGCCCGAGGACCGACCCTGCGGCCAGCGCGGCAGGGCTGGAAGGAACCTCAGGATTCCAGCCCCGCACTTGCCCTAGGAGGGAGCTAGGGAACAGAGAGGGAGCGCCCCGCCTAAGGTCACACAGCTGGTGTGCGGCGAGGCTCGAACCCAAGGTTTCGGACTCCAGTGCTGTCTCCCGCGCATCCTAGCCACCCCTAACCTGGGGTGGATAGGGAGCTCGAGGGGCAGCCACACCTGGCTGCCGAGGAAGGGGGGAGCTGGGGCCTGGGAGCGTTCGTTGTCAGAAGTCCCGGTGACCGCCGCAGGGACTCTCTCCGCGGCTCTCTGGGGAGACTTGTGGCGGGTCTGGCCGAAAGATCAGGTGCCTAGGCTCTCTGCGCTCTCAACATTTGCTCCGTAAATTTGTCTTTATAAATGTCAGGGGTCGGGCAGCGCTGTCTCCCTACTTACAAGCGCCCTGCTTTTCTAGGAAGGCGTGGTGGTGCGTGGGGGTTGGGGGGGGCGGCGGCGCTGGGCAGGGAGCTTGCTTCCCTGATCCTGGCCAGGAGTCCCAAGGTGTTTCCCAACAGGTAGGTCCAGATCGTTCCATCCTTGCTAGGCTGGGTCTGCCCGACTTTCCTGGGTTGGGTGTTGTGGCCCGAGCTGGCATGTTGGGGGGACCACCCAGCCCCTGCCGGCGGCCTGGGGTAGTGGAGGCGCGTGCAGGGCGATGGGGGCCACTCGGGCCCCTGGGCAGAGTAGCATTATAATGGCGTGTTGTGTATTTTTCAATTTCCTAAAGGTAACTGTTCAGTCCTCACCTAATTTTACACAGCATGTGAGGGAGCAGAGCCTGGTGACGGATCAGCTCAGCCGCCGCCTCATCCGGACCTACCAGCTCTACAGCCGCACCAGCGGGAAGCACGTGCAGGTCCTGGCCAACAAGCGCATCAACGCCATGGCAGAAGACGGGGACCCCTTCGGTAAGGCGAGCTGCACCGGGCAGGGTGAAGGTAGACTGTAGAACATGCCCTCCTTCCCCTGGCTGGCCTGCCCTGCCCGGACCCGCCCGCCCCAACTGTGCCGGCCAGAGGCCTCTCCAGCTCAGAGGGAAGGAGTTAAGGCAAAAAAGCATCTTGGGGGTCAGCTGGAGAAGAGAGGGCTAGGAAGGGGACCCTGGGGAGTACTTGGCCCACAGGTACCCCTTCCCTGCCCAGCAAATGAATGAATCCAGGAGTCTCCCTTTCCACCTCCACCATTCACACACCCCTCCCCAGGTGCAGGTGGAGACAGAGGGTTCTGCAGGAGGGGCCACAGGTTTAAGGGAAGCGCTTGAAAGAGGATATGTCACCAGGGTCCAGAAAAGGAGAGTTGGGAAAGAGAAGGGAGAAAAATCCCCACCCCACCCCCAGCCCTTCCAGTTTGTACAGGGGGTGCCACAAACCTTTAAATATTTTGATCAGAAGGGCCAACTGCACATAGGCACTGGGCTTGGGAAGGGGCCCTTTCCACTCCACTGACCCAGGAACCCAGGTGGTGGTCGGAACCGGGCTCCTGACTCCTCATGGGGTGGTGAGTCCAGGGAGCTACTGCAGGGCAGAGAGGCTGAGGACTGATTGATTTCTAAAACATTCAATATTCCTGCCTTGAAACCAGGCCAATTTCCAGAGTCCTGGACGTACCAAGAGAAAAGCAAGCCCTCTGGGCGGCTGGTGTTGTTTTTAGAGAGCGATTATTGTGAGTTTAAAAACCTTTAAATAATGACCAAGTTAAACAAGCATGAAAGGAGAGGGGAAGACTCTATTAAAATGTAATAAAAAGGTGAGGCATTTTAAGAGCTAAGAAGAAAAATGAAGAATGATATAAAACAGAAAAAGAACGAGCCTTTTTTCAGATGTGGAGTTTGAAAGGAGTTGCAAGTCTGTAAATGTTAAAAAAGAGGTTCAAGATTGTTCTCTATGAATCTCTGGAGAGACCCCCGCGTCTGGCAGAGCGATTAAAACTCTTCTTACTTTCACCTTTTTTAACATTTCCTGAATACTTTCTCCTCTTCTCGAGCCAGTTTGGGGGATCGAGTATGTCTCACTGCATTTTTTCTGCATCGACGTAGCTGACTTCCCTTCAAAGCTGGAGAAGGAGACATAATTTTCCCGGGATAAATCTGTCACTGGGGTGGAAGAATAGGTTTGAAAATGTTAAGCTTTTCAAAAGGCCGTTCGGGAAAGCCGCCGCAAACTGCGGCCCCAGCTCCCCAGCTCCATCCAGGAAGGGGAGTGGGGGCTCTCAGTGGAGAGGGTGGGGGGCGGCCTGCCCGGTGGCCGAGCTCCCCCGCTGGGCTGGCAGGGCCAGCCTGCCGTCCCTTTGTCCCTCCAAACTGGCTGCTTGCTGCCCTTCTCAGCTTCCAAGGAAAGGGAACGAATGCTTAGCTCCTCCTGGGTTTACTCCACTGGAGCAAATGGTCCAGCATCCTTGGGTTTTGGGGAGGGAAGAAGAGGCTACGCTGGCCATGGCGGAGCTCATCTTCAGACCTCAGAAGTCTGATGCCCACTTCTGTCCTTACAAGTGTAGGAAGCTTTCCAGGTTCCCTGATCCCTGCCTGCCAGGCAGGAGTGGGAGCTGGAGGGCCCACGAGCAGAGGCGTAGGGTGTGCAGCTGGGACAGTATGAGTCTGGGGGAGAATAGCAGAGAGGTCCGAGTTGCTTCCCTGCGGGTCCCAGGAAGGAAGAGAGGGATTGTTCCAGCCCCGTCTGCCCCATTTGGCCGGAATCCTCAGAGTGGGATCCTCTCGCCCCTTCTCCCGTCAGTGTCCCTCCTGGCCCTAGCAGCAGTGACTCCTTGCTCTGGAAGGCAGATCAGGAGAGGGATGAGCAGACTGGCTGGGTCCAAGAGGAGGTGGGTGGGAGGGGAGGTGACAGCTGCATTTCCCTGGCTGACTTGGAGCCAGACTGGAGAGTTGGCCATTGGGTCCCAGCTCTGTGCTTATGTGAAGGGGTGGGGGGCAGTCACAGGCTGGGCAGTGAGGGCTGCCTTGCTGACCTTGGTACCCATCCCCCCCATTAATTTTGGGGACAAAGAAGGCGCTGCCTTGTTAGTGCAGGCTGGGAGACAGCTCTGGGAGTTGCAGAACTGCTTTCTCAAGGAGGGAAAAGGAGTAGAGAGGACAGGAGACCCAGCCCCTCCTGTCCTATTCCCAACAGCTAAGTCAGCCCTCATTCCCTTCTTGGGGACAGCCTCAAAGGGAGGAATTACACAGGGACGAGACAGGGACCAGGACTTCTGTGGCAAGGTGGCTGTCTGAGGGGAGGGCACAGGGGAAGAAGGCACAGAATTCAGCTCCCTGTCTCATCAGCTTTCCAGACTGAGAGGCAAGCATGCCTGATTTTCTCCCCTCCTCACCCACAGAAAGTGTTTGGTCACTGGGGTGAGAAGCCCAGCTGTGATGGGGGTTGAGAGAGAAAAGACTATTTGAGTCATGGCTTTCTGGACACTGGGGCTGGGGACAGTGGTGACTGGGAAGCGTGGAGAAGAGCAGAAGCCTCCTGGCTGGGGTCTGAGGTTCTGGGGAAGCAGCTGGTTGTGCTCAGGCTGCGTGTGTAGGGAGAGTGGTCCGCATGCCCGTCAGAGCAGGGGTGGGGGGGGTGGCCAAGGCTGTGAGTTAGAACCCGAGGTGTCAGAAACGGGAGAGAGTGCTTTTAGGTTTCGCCTCAGAACTCATGTCACTGCTGCACCCCAGAAGTTTCTAGTGGTCTGTGAGGCATGTGCACATACTGCTTTGAGTTTGAAGGATTCCCAGAGATCTTCTGATGAGAGTAGAACTCTAGTCATGAAGCCTTGACATGGAAGTCAGTACTGTCCGGTTTTAGACGAGGGTCTGTTCAGTTTGATGGCTCCAAGATTCCTCTGCAGAATCCAGTTTGTGCTTCATGATCTTGTCCATCCCCCTGTGTACCGCCAGGTGAGGGGCCTGAGGCCCAGGAAGGGGACGTGATTTTTCCCAATGTCGCACAGCATATCGGCAGCTGGGCTGGGGCTGGAGCCCACGTCTTGGGTACCTGCTCTTGGAGCAGTTGCTGCTGGGATGTGACAGGTCTGAGGGTCAGCTGGGGTGAAGATGTGGTACAGTGGGGGTCAGGGCGCTTCCAATAACCATCCCCCCACCTTCCCTGACAGCAAAGCTCATTGTGGAGACAGATACCTTTGGGAGCCGTGTTCGAGTCCGAGGAGCTGAGACTGGCCTCTACATCTGCATGAATAAGAAGGGGAAGCTGATCGCCAAGGTGAGGCCCCAGAAGGAATGGAGGGTCCCTGGGGCCTGGGGAGGGGCCTGGGCTGGCAGAGCTCCTCCAGGATCCCAGAGAGACACAGGGCCACCTTGGGGTTACCTAATGACTGGGTGGGGGTGGGGGAGGTGAGAGAGAAGGAAACTGCTTGAGAGATGAAAAGCTATAAAGGCCAAGGAGGAAGAAGGAAGGCTAGGGAAGGGGCTGGTGGGGGGGTTGGTAAATTCCATATATCTTTTTAACAAATCGCCAAATTGCTTTGCTATTATGTCCAATTACATGGTACCAGCATTTGGAATGTTCGGTAAGCCGCAGGCCCAGCCCCTCAGCCGAGCTCTGAAATGGCCCCATTAGTCACGGCTCTTCTCCAGCCTCAAGCTCCCTGCTTCCTGGGCTCCGCGTCTCCCCGAAGGCCTCCCCTCCCCCATGGGGTGGCTGCCCTGGGGCCCCTGGGGTCCTGAGGGGCGGGGGGGCGGGGGGGTGGGGGGGATGTGTGGTGCAGCTGGGGAAACGGGTGCGAGCCGCTCGGCCAGACTGGTGGGCAGGAGGCCAGGGCAGGCAGGGTCTGGGCCCCCTCTCTGGCCCTCTGTGTTGGGGCCCAGCCCCTCCGGAGACAGCCATGTGTCACTGCTGCCCGGGAGGACAGGAAGTTGCCGGGTGGGCTGCGGCTTGTGAGGGATTAGAGAGCGGGTGCCCGGGCGGGGGTGGGGCTGTCGCTCGTGCCCACCCTGCCATCTGCTGGGGTGCCCACCTGCTGTCTGGGGCCGCCTGCCCTCTGCCTCTGCTGGGGTGGGGGTGGGGTGGGGGTGCGGCTCGGGCCAGAGCCCAGTAACGCCCGCGTCTGGCCCCCCTACCTGCAGAGCAACGGCAAGGGCAAGGACTGCGTGTTCACGGAGATCGTGCTGGAGAACAACTACACGGCCCTGCAGAACGCCAAGTACGAAGGCTGGTACATGGCCTTCACACGCAAGGGCCGGCCCCGCAAGGGCTCCAAGACGCGGCAGCACCAGCGCGAGGTCCACTTCATGAAGCGGCTGCCCCGCGGCCACCACACCACGGAGCAGAGCCTGCGCTTCGAGTTCCTCAACTACCCGCCCTTCACGCGCAGCCTGCGCGGCAGCCAGAGGACTTGGGCCCCGGAGCCCCGGTAGGCGCGGCCGCCCTCCCCGCCGCGCGGCGCCGCTGCTCGCGGGGGAGCACAGAGAAACTCCGGGAGCCGAGGTCCGCGCTGCTGAAGGCTGGGGAGGAGCTGGGGGAGCCCCGGGTTCTAGCCTTTGATAATTGTTTGCCGTTGGGTTTTTTGTTGTTGTTGTTGTTTTGTTTTGTTTTGTTTTTTTAAACAAAAGAGAGGCTCTATTTTTGTATTCCATTTGGCTGTGGTGTCTGTCTTCTTCACTTTCGGGAAGGCCAGCAGTGGCCTCGACTGGGATTCTGGCGGGGTTCCCTCCGGGTCGGGGGGCTTTTCCAGGCCAGCAGAGGTGCTCCTGAGCTCCCGGCGCCTGCAGAACAAGCTGGCTGGGCAGCCGGGAGCCCACTCCCCCCCACACCCAGGCGGGAGCAGGGAGGAAAGGGTGGGGACTTAGAGCAGGTTTTTTAAGGCTGGGTGTGGGGAGGGGGTGGATGTGTATTAGTTGTTATTAAATGACTGAAATATTTATTTAACTTGCGTATTAAAAATGTGTGTTGGAGAGCAAGTCCTGTGGGGGTCGGCCCCTCCCCCTTCCCCAGCTGCCGGGGCGGCCCTAACCCTAACCAGTTCCCACTGGAGCTTCCCTCCAGCCTGACTTAGGACCTGTGCCTGTCATTGTTATGGAAGGGCTCTCCTGATGGGACAGAAGCAGGGAAAGGGGCAAGAAGAGGCTCTTAGCTGGTCCTGGGAGCTCTCAGACCAGGACCTCCTCGCTCCTTGGGGGAGTCATTGCCAACACTTCCCCTAGCCACCTCTAGGGCAGAAAAGAGGGCTCTGCTCGGACCAGAGCTGCTTTCATGGTTTCAGTGAATCTTTATTTTTATTTTTTTAATATTTTATTTATTTATTTGTCCGGGGGGGGGCGGGGAGTGGCAGGCAGAGGGGGGGGGAGAAGCAGGCCCCTGCTGAGTGAGGAGCCTGATGTGGGACTCGACCCCAGGACCCTGGGATCATGGCCTGAGCCGAAGGCAGATGCTTAACCGACTCAGCCGCCCAAGCGCCCCTCAATGAATCTTTAAAAAGTGCCTCTGTGTGTGTGTCTAGATCTGTGCGGAGGGCAGGCTGGAGATGCCAGAGCTGGTGCTTTCTGAGTATCAGGCTCCAGCGGATGAAAGAAAAGCAGCTGCCAGGGCCCAAGGTGGGGTTACGCTGGAGGGCAGACCGCCAAGACTGGTGCTGGTGACTGAGACACGGAGCGGCGCTGACGTTTGAAGCTCTGGTTAGAGAGCTGTGAGTGGAAGTTGCTGAGCTTGGGTGCTGCGCCAGGGCCCAGGGACCATGGCCCTGGGAGAGGCTGCCGACCCTGGAGAGATGGGGCCCAGAGGGAGAGGAGCTGGGCAGGGGACCAGGAGGGAAGTTCACGGGTGGAGAGCAGGACTCAGACTCTGGCCCCGGAGGAGAAGCAACAGCTCATGGGTCAGAAGGACTGGCCCAAGACGGACCTGCTGTGGAGGAAGGAAGCCCAGGCCGCACTAGGGCGATGATGGAGCAGGTCACGGTGTGGGCACAAGGGCTGGCCTGTGGTGGGCAGAGAGCTGTGTGTTTGGATGTGGGCTGGAGAGCCAGGCATCACAGCACATCGAGGGACAGCCCAAGCCCAGAGGCAGCAGGTCTCCTGAGGGCAGAGCTGGCCCCGTCTTTATAACTGAGGCCTCCCATTCTGGCCGTTTCTGCTGCCTTCTTTTGACAGCGCAGCTACCAGGCCAATCCAGAAACCTCTTCCCTCTGGGCCTCTGTTCCTCGGCACTTCCTTGGAGTGGGGGGCACCCCAAGGCTTCCTAACCACGTGGGCCTCTCAGAGCTGAAGCCGCAGGTTCCAGGGTCAGGCCATCCAGGTGGACCAGGAGCTCCATGACTCAAGGGGAAGCCTTGGAGGAGAGAGGCTGGGGATACCCTGGGCTCTGGCCATGCCACCTCCTCTGGCTTGCTATGGGGGTGAGGGGCTCTGGAGAGAGGAGGTGTCTCCCAGGCGCATAGACACCGGGGATGTGGGGAGGGGCTCTAGACATCTCTGTTCCAGCTCCCCCAGCTCTTAGTGCCTCCTCCTCTGCTCCATCCCCTCCCCTCCCCCTTTAATTAATTCTGGGTGAGCAGCCTGGCTTTATTGTGCAAGGAGCTCGGGTCTCACTGTGGGAAAAGTCACACCTTCTGAGCAGCTTCTGATGCCATGCAAATGAAGAGACCGTCCAGGAAACGCTTTCATCTGCACGGCCGCCTGTCCAGCCCCCAGCCCAGTAATTGCCCACATTTCATTTGTTTGAGAGCAATTCCTGGGGGAAGCCATAGGGTAGGAGGGAGTCTGGGGTGGGGGTGGAATGTCAGGCTCTCCCTGCCTGTGATCCTGGCCACGGAGCGGCGGCTGGTCACTGGCTAGGCCAAAGCCATTCCTGCAGCCCCCCGGGGCCAGGGACGCTTGAGTTCTCTGGCGTGGTGGATGGAACTGTGCCGTGGTGGCCGTGAGGGAGAAGCGGTGGGCTGTCCGCAGAGCCAGACCTGCCTTACAGAGAGGAGGGAGATGCCTGGTGGTGGTGGCTGGGGGCAGCGGAGAGGTGGCTGGGAGGTGGGGGTCCTCGAGGCTGCCCAGGGCTTTGGGAAGGGCTGACTTCTGGCAGGACCCCGGGCCGGGGACCCATGCGAACAGAGCCCAGAGCGGTGGGGCCAGGCTGGGCTAGAGCACCCACCACCTTGTTTATCTTCGCCTTGCCGCCTCCATAGAGCCCTCGCTAATGGGGTTTTACAGCCCACTCAAGCTGCAACTGGCCAAGAATCAATCATTACCGGCACTTAGTGGTTTGATAGTTAACAGCCTGAACTGAAGCCAAACTGGTTGTTAACTGTGATAACAACTGATTTCAAGGGGTTATTGCCGGCCCAATATGCTCAGTCCATTTATTTCGGGGAAAACAAGCAGGGAGCCGTGGCAAGGCCCAGAAAAGGGAGGAAGACTGGGCTCTTCTCAGCCAAAAGGTCTGCCGCTCTGCCCTAGAGTGGGCGCTGGCTGTGAGGGCCCTGGGGTCCACCTGAGGCCTGTGGCAGGCTTGACCTCCCAGGACTCCCTGAGGACCTGCCTGCAGGCCCAGGGGACCCACACAGAAGGCCTTCTCTTCAGTGCTTACCTCATCCTGATCCCCCCTCCTTTTCTTCTAGCAGTACTGCCCATGAGACCTTCACTGGGACCGACCCGCCATGAGGAGGAAGCAGGCCTAGTGGCCAGGCCTCCGCTGGTCCCCACCCAGAGGGTGGGGCTGGACCCCCTCACTCATCCCTCCCTCCCCCAGGCCTCCCAGAACCCTGCCAACTCCAAACTAGAACCTTGTCTTCCATTTCAAGGCCAGCGAAGACTCCACCCAAGCCTTGATGAGAAAGAATGAGTGAGGGCTCTCTCCTCTCACTCCACCAGGTTCTGTCCAACCCTTCCTTCTACCCTAGCCGAATGACAGAAGGGGAGGCTGTGCGCAAGCATCATTCTAGAATGCTGCTGCAGCGAAGGACCTCAGGAGTTCTTCAGCATCTATAGCTAGACAGCCTAGGGCCCGCCCGGAAGACACATTTCTAGCTAGTACTAGAAATCAGGTGTTAATTTCCAGACCAAGGCTGCCTCTTGAGGATTGTAGGTCTTTCCCTAATTCCATTCATTCATTTGATATTTATTGAGTGCCTATCGTGGGCCAGGCTCTATTCTGGGTAGAGGGACAAGCAGGAAATGAGACAAAAGCCCTGTCATCATGGAGCTCATATTCTGGGCGGGGGGAGGGGGGTGCAGAGCAAATGGTGTATAGTATGGCAGACACTGAGAACCACATTGGGAAAAATGCAGAGAACGGAATGAGTGTAAAAGGAGGGTAGGGTTGTAGCAATTTTAAATAGGGTGCTCCAAGAAGGCTTCACTCAAATCTTAATGTTTAAGCAGGCACCTGACCAAGGTGAGGCTTTCAGGTACCTGGGGAGGGGCCATCCAGGTGGAGGGAAGAGCAAATGCAAAGCTTTCTGCATTTAGGGGAAGAGGAAGGAGGCCAGTGAGGTTGAAGCAAAGAAGGGAGGATAGGGGTGTGTTGGGGGGGAGGGGCGTGGAGAAGGCTAGAGGCTGAGGTGAGGCCAGAGAAATAGAAGGGGTGGTGGTGGAGGGCAGATCACATAGGGCCACTGAAAAGACTTTAGTTTTGATTCTGAATGAGATGGCAGACCATCGGGGGTCTTTGAGCAGTAGAGTGACATGCTCTGAATGAAGTTTTAACAAGATTACTTTGGCCGCTGTGTGGAGAACAGGCAGCTGGGTGGGGGGGGGAGGGCAAGGGAGACCAGTTACGAAGTTATTGCAGTAATCTAGGCTAGAGATAATAGCGGATTGGAGGCAGTGAGAAAAGATTGGGATTTGGGGCAGTTTTTACAAGCGGGGATGGCAAGATTTGCTGATGGATTTGAATATGGGCTATGAGAGAGAGGGGTTGAGGGGTCTCCAGGGGTTTTGGCCTGAGCCACTGAAAGGACGGAGGGGTCATTTGCTGACACAAAGAAGATTCCAGAAGGGGCAGATTTTGAGGGGAAGAGTAGGAGTTTAGTTTTGGATACATTACATCTCAGCTGACTAAAGAAATATGCAAGGGGAGACGGTGAGTGAGCAGTTGTGCATGAGTCTGGAATTCCGGGGAGGGGTCTAGTGTTGAAGATACAGCTTTGGGAGTATTTGGCGCACAGGTGATTTTTAAAGCAGGACATGGAATGGGTTCCCTCGGGAGTGAGCGTAGCGAGAGAAGAGAGGAGCCCCAAGCCTGAGCCCTGGCGCACTCCAAACATGCAGAGGTCAGGGCGGAGGGGGAGCCTGGGGAGGAGACTGAGAAAGTGTGGCCCATGAGGTAGGTGGGAGGAAAACCAAGACAGTGTGGCATCCTGATGATATAGGACCAAGACAACAATTTCTGGGCCCGAAGATTTCAGTGTCCTACTCCCCAGCCAACACCAGGGCCAAAAGGAAGTAGCCGACAAGTAGGGTTGGTTTGACCTGGGAGTCTCCTGAGCTCTTCTTTCAGCCTCTCCCGGCCTCTCATCGTGTTGCCTTTACCTTCAGAGCCTAACTCAACTCCAGTCCACTTACTCTTTGACTTCTCCACCACCCTCACCCTGCTCTAAGCCGTCATCAGCTCGTGTCTGGCTTTATGGC